TCCTGCGCTGTCCAGGTGAGCCCAAGGTCATCACAAGGGTCCTCACACACGGGAGGCAGAGGGGGAAGTGACTGTGGAAACGGGAGACGCAGGGAGGAGTGGCCCACCCCTCCACTCCAGCCCCCCGACTCTGCGGAGCTCAGAGCCCCGGACGCACCGGGCCGTCAGGCACAAATTCCGTGGCCCGCTGCTCCAGGAAGGGAATACTGTCTTCCCTTCACGTTCGGTCCTGTCACGTTCCCGTCAGCAAAGCCGGTTCCAGGACCTTGTGCCCCAGAGGAGCTGTGCCCCGTGTGTCCCCATGCCTAGCCGTGCTGTCCCTCCACAGGGCAGGGGGGCCTGCTGCCGCCGTGCCCGCGGCACATTCCCAGCCCTTCCGGCTCCGCGGGACCAAGTCTCTGGGGACACCCGCATGCCGTGGGCGCGTTCCTTGGGGTTCGCCGGTCACAGTCAGGGTCTGTGGCTTTCCATACAAACCGCCCAGCAGTTCTGCCCCGGGTTTCGGGGCACTCTCCCTGGGGAGCCCGTCTTGCTGCCACGCCCGAGGCTGGCCCACGATGGGAGGAGAAGGCTGCACCGGCATGCCGTCGGTGCCCGCGCAGGCGGTGCGGCCCACCGCGGAGCCCAGACCCTGACCGCGGGGCTGGCTCGCATTCCAGACGCCACCTCTAGGCCCCGAGCCGCGCCCGCCGCTGCAGCCCTGGCAGCCCCTCCCTGACGCCACAGGGACAAGGAGCTATTTTCTCTGTGCTTGAGACACGCGACCCTAAAAAGGCGGCAGCCTGGCGTCGGGGAGGGGGCAGCTGGTGCCTCTCAGTCTGTGGCGGGACAGCGCCAGATGGGGCCTCTCCCCTCCCCCCCCCGGGCCCCCTGCGCACAGCACCAGCAGGCCTGTCCCCACTGTGTGCACGGGAACAGGGCCTCCACCAAGTCCCCAGGCCCACACGGGGCCCTACCCAGAGCGACCACATGAGCGCTCTACCCAGGGCAGAGCTGCAAGTCCACCGGCCTGCAGGTCAGCCACGCTGTGGACGCAGGGACACGCCCGAGGGTAGCTTCTGCTCAGCAGCTGGGGTCGTGCCATCTGCAGGATGGGTGGCCACCCGCACCCCTGAACATTGCCCATGACGAGGCCCTGGCTGAGCACATCACCCACATGATCCCGTGCCGGCCCCAGGACTTCCAAGTTGTACAGAAGAGGAAACTGAGGCACGGAGACGCGAGGTCCTGGTCCAAGGTCACCCTGCCAGCCAGCGCCAACCTTGGGCCCTGCAGGACACCCTGCCCCCTGCCCGCCCGCTTGCCCGCCTTGCCTGCTGGGCCCAGCAGTGCCTCAGGACGTGGCCCGCGGCCGTCTGAGTGTGGGTGGGGACCCAGCCCCACCGTCCACCCCACACTCCCCCGGCCCAAGCCAGGCTGTAAGCCGCGGGATGGAGGGGGGCGCTGGCCCCAAGTCGGTCTGGCTCCTGGGCCACGTGCCTGCAACGGCCGGCGGCCAGGGTGCCTAATTCCAGGCACTGGGACGGGGGCGGCAGCGACTTCAGACGGGCGCTGGCCGGGGTCCCAGACTTGGCCCCGGCTGAAGGACGGCTGTTTGGCCCTCCATGAAGCCAGCGGCCTGCCCATCCCGTCATAGCCTGGCCTCCCCGGGGAGGTGGGCCTGACCGGGGACGACTCCCGCCCACCGCACTCGGGGCCTCCAAGCCAGGGTCTCCAGAGCCCTGCAGACTCCAGGGCTCCGTGCTGTCCTGACGTCTACACAGGCTCAGGGTGTCTGTGCTGCCCCACCCTCCCCCCACGCCCCTGCCAACCGCACCCCTGCCAGAGGGGTCTCCCCTGGCAGCACGCAGCAGGACGGGACCCAGCGGTGCCCCCCCGACACACATACCTGGAGCTTGGCTGTGCTGGGGAGACGGCTTCCTCCCAAAGGACCGGCCAGTCCTGGGGCAGAGGCCAGATGCTTCACTCAGCATTTATTGAGCGCCTACAGCGTGCGGGGCCCTACCGTGAGCCAGCACCCACTGTGTGCCAGGCCCCACCTGCCCAGGGCCTCCCTGGCTGCCTCCTCCCGAAGCCCCTCTGAGGAGCGCCTGGAGGAAGCGCAAGGATCCTCAGCACCGTCAGTGGTGATGGTCGGCCACCACTGGCCCCAGGAGTGGCCACACCCAGCCACAAAAACGGCCGTCCCAGGTGCAGGCACTCACGCACGGTGCCCCCTTTGCCGGAGGGACTGCAGGGCATTGGGGTCACTCGGCAAAACTGTTTAAATTAACGAGGAACCGCCACACACTTCTCACTCAACCCAGAAAACCACGTCCACGTGAAAGCCTGCATTCACAGTGGCCTCGAACCGAACACAACCCGAGGTCCCCGGCTGGGGAACTCATCCGCACACGCAACACCTCTCCACACTCAGGACGGAGCCACAGGGACGGCACAGCAGGGCCAGCCTCCGATGCGGATGGCCCCGTGGAATGACCGCGGAAGAGGCATGAGTCTGGGGCATGGAACCCAAGCAGGGGCTGGGGGCTGGGGGTGGCTGACGACAGCCTGCAGAGTGGGACTGTCCTGCATCTGCCTTGGTCACAGGACCATCCCCTGCACGGGGCACGGAGCTCATATGTGGGCTGCACCTTACGTGAACAAGATACACATTCACCTCTCCATTGGAGCAGGGACACGCGGCCTTGCTCTGAGGGGCAGGAGAGCTTACCGGGTGGCCCAGGCTGGGTGTTCCGTGCCCAGACCCCGGGTGGCCCTCCCAGGGCAGGAGATGGGCCCCACACCGTGTGGCCTCTGCCAGGGGATGCCCGGTGGAAAGGTGTGCTCTGGGCATAGAGCCAGGACCTGAGAAGACACCAGGGAAACTGAGGCCCACCTTGGGCACCTCCGCAGAAGGGCCAGGACCTAGTTCCAGGCCTACAGGTTCTAGTCCCCAAGAGGTTGACATGGGGGCCCAGGCCTGGCCTCCTTTGTCCCTCCCTCCCTGCTGCCCCGGCCACCTCACTGGGGGACCGGCACAACCTCTCGCATGGCCAAGTCTGTGCCCCAAACCCTGGTTCCTACGCAGATGCTGCCAGGAAGTGGCCAACAGTCCTGAATCCAGTGGGGGGGAGTGGGGGGAGGCACATCTGGCCGAACCTCACAAACACCTTCCCTTGAAGGGACCTGCACCTGCCACCCCAGGGACGCCTCAAGGCCCACTGGGCGTGCTGCACCTGACATTAGTCAATGCTTCCAATGACAAACCCATGCTGAGCACCGTGTCCTCCCCACTACACAGAGGAGGAAACTGAGGCGCGGGGGGGACAGGCTCTGCCACGCCGGGAGCTCTCTGCTCACCCCGTGACACTTAGGACAAAGGCGGAGCAGGGTGGCAGCTCTGGGACCGGCCCTGCTTTGCATAGAGAGGAGGCAGGGGGATGGGGTCCGAAGCCTCAGCAGGAAGTGCTGTGTCTGTCGGTGACTGGGGGCGGCCCGGGCGGCCTGGTCCTCGGGACAACGGGGGGCATTGTCTGGCCTGTGAAAGGCGGCCATTGAGGCTGTGGCTCGAGGTGGGGCACAACGTGGGGAGTGAGCCAGGAGCGTCACCAGGGCCGCCCCTGTGAGCCGGGGTGGGGCAGGTGGAGGCCCCTTATCTCGACACGTCCCGTGACCTTGGCTGCAACCTTGGCCGAGGGCGGGGAGCGCCAGGCTGGAGCCACCTGGAGCCCCGGCCCCGCGGCCTCCCCACACCCCTCGCTCCCTGGCACCAGGTGGTGCCTGGCCCGTCAGCGCGTGCGGTGACCTGAGGGAAGCCCCGGTGGCCGTGGTAGGGGCCTCAGGGCCGGGCAGCCACCTCGGACGGCACAACTAACCCCCTTCACGGCGGCCCCGCTGCCGCCCCTGCCCCGCCATGCCACCCGGGCGCACACGTGCAGCCGCTTCTTGGCCTTGATGCCCCCGAGGAGTGCTGGTCAGCGAGTCCGGTCAGGGTCCCTCCGCGGGGTCCATCTGGCGTCTCCTCACAGCCGAGGCGAGGCTTTGCATTTTCAGCAAGAACATCACGGCAGCCACGCCGTCCGGGCACCGGTGCCCCGTCCACGTGGGGGGAGGCGGGTCCAGCTGCTTCTCGGCCGGCCGGGCCCTTTTCCTCCACCCCAATCCACATCCAGGGGAAGACGCTTCGAGACGCACAAATCCTGGCTCCCCCCAGCTTCCTTGGATTTTGGCACCTGGCGTGGTTCGGTCCGCACCTGCTCCGCCGGGGCCCTCGCCGCTGACCGTCCCGTTCCCCCGTTTCTTCCTCGGTGACAGTGCACCTCTTCTGTCAGACTCCCTCCCCGGTCCACACCCTCCGTGGGCAGGGCTCCTGTCCTCTCCCCTGTGGCCCGTCTTGTCGCCCTCACGTCCGGCTTTGGGGCCTGGTGCCCCTCAGAGAAATGTGCTGGAGCCCTTCCTCCCGGGAGGCCCGGGGCACCACACGCAGTGGGACAAGCTGTGGGCGGCGCACCCCGCGCCCACCATGCCCCGCTGGGGGCACAGGCTCCCGCCACCTGCTGGTCCCCGCAGCCCCTCTGAGCTGGGGGCGGGGGGTGCTGGGTCGTGGCCGTCAGCCTGGGCCTCACGTGGCTCCCAGGGCCGGGGCCTTTCCCGAGGCCTTCGGCTCCCTTCCTCCTCGTGGGAGGGGCCAGGCGGGCGTGTCCTCCCCTGGGCCTGAGAAAGTGCTCTTGTGGCAGGAAGTGCCCACGGGAATCCCCTGGTGCTCCTCACAGGGCAGGGGGAGGAGCCCGCAGAGGGGAACCACAGGGCCAGGGACACCTCAGGGGGTACCCAGGTACACCTGCTCCAACACCCCCAACACTGGGGCTGGCAGCAGGGGGCTCGGAGGGGCTGGGGCCTGTGCAGGCTTTGGGTCGAGGGGCACCTGGCTGGCCAGGCCTCAGAGGCCGTGGGGCGTGGGGCTCCTGGATGCCCCTGAATGCTGCCCTTCCTCCTGGAAGCCCCAGGGGGGCATGTGGGGGGCACTGGGGAGGCCCCTGCCGTGAGCAGATGAGATTTAGCCGCTGTGCGGGGCCAGCGCACCGGCCACCTCCCCACGGGACGGTGGCTTGGGGAGGACCTCGGTGGCAGCAGGCAGATGGAGCCTCTGCCCCTTCTGCTGGCCCCGGAGGGGCTGACTGAGAAGCCGCCGGCTCCAAGGACACCAATCCAGGGCCCGCTACCGTGCCCCTCCCACAGTCCCCTCTGTCCCTGGCCCGCTCTCTCACCCCTGTCCAAGAGGGACAGGGCTTGGCGGCACCAGGAACTTGGAGGAAAGTGTTCTAATGGGGGACCTCGGGCCTGGGAGGGGCACACTTGTAGGCAGGAAGGCTCCCAGCTTGTCACACGGTCATTACCACCTCCTGAGCTCAGCGAGGCAGGAGGCAGACACCGGGCCCTCGCAGAGACCTGAGCGCCTGGAACGGACCCAAACACGCAGGGGAGAGGTCTATCGGGGCTGCTGCCCTGTGCACACCCCCCACTTCTGGAACCCAGACCCCACTTTTTCGCCCGAGAGGGCAGCTCCAGGACGCAGAGGCAGGCCCACATCACACCTCCCGTCCGGGCCCCACCGCGCGCCCGCCCGCTCCGCCCCTCCCACCAGCACCTGCTCACCCTGCAGACAGCCCAGCACGGGCCCACCTCCCCGACCAGCCAGGGTGCCCAGCGCGGCCCCGCCATCCCCACAGCACCCACGCCGTCTGAGCCCGGCTGCCGATGGCCATGGGACCTGAGCACCAGGCCCCCCAGCTTGGTGTCGGGAGGACCGGACACGGGCCCAGACCAATTAGCCGGTCCTCCAGATTCGAAATGAGTCTGGCAGTGCCAGGAGCAGGGTCCAGGATGCAGACACAGAGACACAGAGAGAGGGACAAAGAGACACGGAGAGACAGGGACAGAGTCGGGGACAGAGGGAGAGGCACAGAGCACGGGGCCTTACCTGCGGAGTAGGGCTCCTGCTTGTCAGGGTGGGTGAACTCCTGCCGCTCGTACTTGGCCCGGATCCACTGCTCACGCAGGAGTCTGGGAGGAGAGAACGTGTCGTGCTGGGCCGCACCACAGGGCTCACAGAGGCTCCTGGCGCTCCGGGGGCACAAGGCCCCTGAAAGAACGCGTGTCCACCTCCGGAAGGCAGGGCTGAAGGGCCGCCAGCTTTGATTTTTTAAAATCGTTTGCTAATCAGATAGTTTTACCACTAATACTTCCCCTTAAAAAAAAAATTAGCTCTGGGGCCGCCTGGGTGGCTCAGTCGGTTGGGCGTCCGACTTTTGATTTCAGCTCAGGTCTTGGTCTCAGGGTCATGGGATCGAGTCCTGACATCAGGCTCTGCGCTCAGCAGAGATTCTCTCCCTCCGCCCCTCCCCCTGCTCGTGCTCTAAAATAGATAGATAAATCTTTGAAAAAAAAAATTAGCTCTAGGGGCACTTGGCTGGCTGAGTCGCTGGAGCGAGTGACTCTTGATCTAGGGGTTGTGAGTTCGAGCCCCCCGTGGGGTGTGGAGTTTACTAAAAAAAAAATAAACTTAAAAAAAATTAGCTCTAATTCACATATCATCAAATGCAGCCACTGAAAGCGTCAAATACACAGGTTCACAGTCCCTCTCAAGGATGTACCGCCATCACCCCCGAGAGGACACCCTTGACCCGGGCCCAACCACAGTCCACTGCCGTGTGGACTGGCCTGTGCCGACGTGGCATCGGGCAGTGCGTGTGGCCTTCTGCGATGGGCTTTGTGCGCAGAGCAGTGTCTGAGGTTCACCCTCGTGGTGGCGTGTACCAGTCCGTGCTTTGGGTCTTCCCGTGGCTGAGTAACATCCCCTCCCCTCACCCCCGACTGCCAGGAAGGCGGCCCCAGCGAGCAGCAGAGGGGGCGTCTGCCCGGCCACAGAGCAGGGCTGCTCTGTCCTGGCCCCCACGGCCCCCCACCGGCTGGGCAGCACATGCCTCTGACAGCTCCCACCCCCTGCACACCCGGGCAAGATACCAGCTCCTCATCCTCCGAGCCCTGCACCCCGGCAGACCCTGGGGCTCGGCCCCGGTCTCCCATCACTGCCGCTGCCCTGACCCAGGCCACCCCCACGGTCTGCTCTCCCAGAGCCACTCAGAGCCCTCTGTGGCCCACCTGCCTCCGTTCTTCGGTGCTCACAAGACCCTCGTTGAACCCCAGCTCGGCCTGTGACCCCTCCCCATCCCTCCCGCCCCACCTCTGCACCCACCGGCAGCCCCCAGCCCCTCCGCTTCCAGCTGTCACAGCCGTCCCAACACCCGACCCCGAGGGCAGCCACAGCCTCCATTTCTACTTCCGAGTCACGTCAGCTTGGCTGGCACCACGGCGGAGATCGCTCAACCCCTCGGGAGGGGCCGTCCGGCTCTGAACGACACACACCCAGGTGAGTTTGGGGCCCAGCACGGCCCTCGGGCTTGGGGGCTCCCCCCACCAATGCAGCAGACAGGGGCCCTCAGGCCTCGTGCTGGGCCCGTGAGGCCAAACCAGGCTCTAGGGGCCCAGCTCTGCGGGTGTGCACGTGGTCCTGGGCCCGCCCGTAACCCCCGCTCCACGAGGCCTCTGAAAGCCACCGGGATTTAGGGTCTCCCAGGTGCAGAGGCCAGGCCAGGGGCAGGCAGGCAGGGCCGGCTCCTCTGCAGAACCAGGCCCCCCTCCGGCATCCTCGGCCTCTGCCCATCTCCGCACAGACCCTCCCTGGGTCCCAGCGCCTGCTCTTCTGAGGACACTGGCCATCCCAGCTCTGCACCCAAAACCCACGAGCCCTTATTCCAGGCCCTTCGTTTCATCTGCAAAGACCCTGTTCCCAGATAAGGGCCCTGCACAGGTCCTGGGGTTCGGACCTGACCTGCCTTTTGGGGGACATCATTCAACTCCCGACAGGGTCGAGCTGTAGGACCGCGGGGAGCCAGCTCCCCTCCTGCACCTGCTTCTCTGGGACATGGGAACGCCATGCCTGGCTGCTCCGACGTGTGCGAGCCAGGGCCTGGTGTGTCAACGGGACGCAGACAGCTAACAGCCATCCCGTGGCCTCATCCGCACCCCATCACGCAGGGCACCCACGAGGTCCCAGACCACAGCCTCTGCGTGGACGCTGGCCCCCGAGGCTCCACCCGGGCCTGGCCCAGAGGACCCCAGCGGCAGCAGGAGGAGGAAGCCTGGGCACCAGGGGAGTCCCCACCCTGCTGGGCAGCCCGATCCCAAACCACTCGGTCACCAGGGGCCCCGACACAGACGGGGTGCCGCAGTACGGGGCCCTGACCTCCTGAGACCATCTGGCCCAGGCTCCTCCACCAGGGAAAACCAGGGTCAAAGGGGGGATCCCACTCTCCGCCAAGCCCCATGACGAGGGAGGCCCAAACCCCCAGCGGACACTGCTCTTGACACCTAAGACCCGCCCTGTGTTCCCGAGAGCTTAGGGGAGACAGGCTTCACCGCCTCCCCCAGCGCCAGGGCCCTCGGAGTCAGTCTGGGTCCCCTCAACCCCGAGCAGATGCGGAGCCGGGACGTGTGCAGGACTGGCTGCCTGGAGCTGGGAGGGCAGCGGGTGGCCAGGTGAGTGTGGCGGACCACCCACCCTGCCCGGCCCTGGAGTTGCCCTGCTCTGACCCCCAGGGCCTGCCTCCCCCATTTCCACGGCCCGTCGGGGGCACCCCGGCGCCGGGCAGGCGGCGGACCCCTTCCCGCCCCACCCCCCCCCGCCCCCTGAGGCTGGTGCAGAACCTCCAGTGGGCGTGTGGCTGTCTGCTGGCTACCATGTCAGGTGCTGGCGTCTGACCACCGTTCCCGGCAGCCCTCCTGCCCCCGGCTCCGTCAGCCTCTGAGTCCCAGGCTCTCGGACACTCTGCGAGACGCTGAGGCCTGGGCTTTCCCTCCTGGGGAGGTGACTGCCCTTGGTGCCTCCGTTTCCCCTTCCACGGGGTGGGCAGCTCCCCCAGGCAGTGTCTTTCCCTTCCTTTGTACCATGGGGAAACTGAGGATACGCCCTCCTCACGGTGGTGAGCGCCTGGGGGCCCCAGCCCCAGCACGGCCGCCATCCACACCCGCTTGCCCTCTGAACTCCCCGAAGCAAACCAAGACCTCCTATCGCTTTATCTGCCTGATTTCTGAGGCTCTTATGGATTGAATTGCACCCACCACCCCCAAAAATACGCTGGAGTCCTAACCCCCAGCACCCTGCAGATGAGCCCCATTCTGGAAGGAAGATGGTTGTGAGTTAACAGGTTACCACGCATCAGGCTGGAGTGGAGGCACCCCCAGAGAGGGGGTCCAGACAGACACAGGGTGGCCATGTCCAAGCCCAGGAGGGGCTCAGGAGACGAGCCCTGCACACCTGGACCACCAGCTCCGGGAGGTGAGACGGTGAATTTCTGTTGTGTGAGCCAACCCAGCTGGGGTTTTGGCCCCCCCCGCCCCAGCAAGCCGGCACAGAGCCCCATCCAGCCGGGAACCCTGCCCGCCAAGGGCTTGGGGGCGCCTCCGGGCTCCAGCCTTCCCCCCGCCCGGGCCCCAGAGAAGGAAGCAGGGGGGCTGGCTTGCAGCAGAAGCAAAGTCGAGGACCTCTGCTGACTTACTTCCCGCGGTGGCAGAACCAAGGCCGAGGACAGCGGGGCAGACACAGGAAGGAGGCCCAGGTCCCCACCTCTGAGCCACCACCTGACACGAACATGACCTTTGTCCCCAGGCCTTCTGAGCGCCGCTCCTCATGGGCTCGCCTGTGGGCTCCGAGTCCCACAGACGGGAGGCCGTGGAGGGGCCACACCCCCCCTGGTTTTGTCCTCAGGACACCCGGGGGTCCTCCCTGGAGGCTGCTGCGGCCCCCAGCTCTAAAAGTGCCCATCTTGGGGGGGCTGCACCCTACAGTTTACAAAGGGATTCAAACCATGCCTCCCACCACGCACGGCACTCCTCAGTGAGCTCAGAGTGTCAGCCACCACACCTCGCTGGCCTTGCAGCCGCCCAGTCACAGCTCCCTGGGAGGGGCTCGGACCCCACCCTGCAGGCATCCGCACCCTCCTGGGCCTCAGGGGCTTGGCCTGGGCAGACCTGAGTGCCTACTGAGTGTGGGGATGGTGGCAGGCTCAGCTCCCGCAAACCTTCACCTAGCAGAGGCTTCTGGAAGGCGAGGCCTGCCCAGGGTCCCCCTGCTCCCTCCTGGGCTCCCTCCTGGGCTGCCCAGTCACCCGGAGAGGCCCTGACCGCACAGCCCCTATACAGCACAGGGATGGTCTCTGCAAGCATGTCTCAGGGACCAGGACGTAGAGGAAGCTGCTGGGCGTCCTGGCCAGGACACGGCCTGTGAGCCAGGCTGTCCCTTGTCATCCACTCTGAAGGGAGATACAGGGCATGCATGCAAATAGGCAAACCACAGAGCAGCCTGCAGCCGAGGTGATAAAATCGTGTCTCAGCAATAGTTGCCCGGCCTCACTGATTCATACCGAGATGGCCAGGCAGGGCCTCAGGCTGCAGATTCCCCTCTGAGCCCAGAAGTGGCCGGTGGTGGGGCGAGTCTCAGGATGTGACCCGGTACCTGCACCGGGGTGGGTCCTTGGCAAGGCATCCTGACCCCGGAGACCCTACGGCCATCAGCAGCATCTCCCCGGCCTGGGAGGCAGGTGGGCCAGGTCCTCAGGCAGGTGGCCAGGACCGGGAATTCCCAGCATCCAGCCCATATCCCAGGTTCTGGTCGCAGCTCATCTGCTGGGATCTGTGTCACTCACTCAACCCCTCTGGGCCCCAGGAGCGCCCTTGTCCAAAGAAGGCCATTTATCTCCGCGGCTGAAGCTGTGGCTGAGCCACCGTGGACACTGGCCAGCAGAGGCAGGGCAGCCGGGGGGACTGAGTAACACCTAAGGGGCCAGTCCTGTGCTGGGGGCACAGAGGGACGAGGCATCCGGGGGGGGCGACACCCAGGGAGGGAGGGGATTCAGCGAGGTCTAGAAGTGCTGGGAGACAGGGAGCCTGGCCAGGGGTGGACGCTGCCCTGAGCTGCTCAGCATCCTCCTCCGACCACCGGGGGGCACATGAGGCCCTGGAGACCCCTGCTGAGACCCACAGCGAGGGCCCCACTGCCCTCCCTCCAGCCACCGGCCACCACCCCACTGCCAGGCTCCGGGGACCCAGCCGCCCTCCCCAGCTCCCGGGTGGCAGCCACCGCCCCGCCTGGTGGGTCCTCCTGATGCCAGCCCCCGACAGATCCCCCCTATGACTTACTGACAGTCCGAAAACGTGGGCCGGTAGTAGAAGGGAGGCACTTTGGACTCGTACATGTCCCTCGCAGCGTCGTTCCCATGGGAGGCCATGAACTGCAGAGGGAGGACAGGGTCAGTGCTCCCGGAGGCCGAGGCCTAGGGCAGGGGCCGGCTGACCCCAGAGCCCTGGCGTCCCCAGCCCCTCCTGTCTCAGGGAAAGCAGTTTGCAATGGCCACAGGGACGCACCTCCAGTTCTGCCAGGGGCCCTGGAGAGGGTGGGCTGGGCCCTCTTCACATCCCCCGGGGCTGCAGAGCTGCTCCCTCCGCCCAAGCTGCCCCGTCCCTCCGCCCAAGCTGCCCCGTCCCTGCCTCACTCAAGGCCCGCTCTCTACTCATCTGACCCATGCCCAGCAGGCAGTCCTTGAGTACTGGGCACAGTGAGGGCCCCGAGATGGAGACTGGCCCGGGGAAGCAAGGTCTATGTTCCCCCTGAGGCAGACAGATGGCGGGAGTCAGGAACCTGGAGCAGGTACTACACAGGCAGTGGGGGAACAGCGGGTGCAAAGGCCCTGGGGTCAGTGCCAGGTGTATTGGAAGAGATGCCTCCAGCTGGGCTTGTGCAGGGGAGCGGGGAGGGGACCAGCGGCGCCTGACGCATGGTGGCCTCGAGGACAAGGAGAGTGGAGGGGATTCCTTCTGCACCAATCCTGCCTCCTTCTGACCCCCGCCCCCACCCACCAAGAGAAAGCCTATCTTCCAAACCCATTGAACTTTGAGGACCATCAGGCCATGACCATGGCCAACCCAAGTGGGTCAACTCGAAAAAATCACCAACAATAAGACACTTCAGCAAAAAGCTGGTACCAAATTAGAATTCCAAAATCAGTTGCTTTTCTATCTAAAACCTCAATCAAGAACTTGGCAAAATACTGAAGAGCCAGCCTCATGAGAAATGCTCAAAGTCTCCCCAAAGACAGAACGTCCACGCCCCTGAGGGATGCTCAAGAAATCTTGCACAGAGACACACACTCAGAAGGGTAGACACACGCCGCCTCCTGATGTCGATCTATGTTGTTTTAGAAGTTGTCAAAAAAGTATTTTTTGAAGCTAGCAATGATTCTAAAGTTCATTTTAAAATTAACAAGCAAAAATGCTCTAGAAAATTCTGCAAATACTCTTCCTACCAGATATTAAAACCCGTTACTGACCAGAGAGCCAAATCAATGCAACCAATAAAAGGTCCAGAAATAGATCCAGTAAGATCTAATACTTGATATTGGATTTAATGCACATCTCAGATCAACGGGGGGATGCCCGTTAGCTGACCATCATTGGGAGCAGGAAACTGGGAAACCAGCATAGAAAAAGCACAGCTGGACTCAACCTTTTAGCCATATAAGCTCCAACTGAATTAAAGATGTGATTTCCAAAATTAAACAGTAAAAGTAGTAGCTAGAAACTACGGTATAATTTTAAAAAATGATTTTAGGAAAATATGGGAGGAAATCTTTGTGACTTTGGATTAAGAAATGGCTTCATAGGCATGATCCCAAAAGCACAAACAACAAAAGAAAAAAAAATGGAACTTCATCAAAGTTAAAAACTTCTGTGCTTCAAAGGACACCGTCGAGGGCGTGCAAACGTTAGGCTGAATGAGAGAAGCTGGACAGTAATTCCACAGTGCGTGGCTGTCTTCGCAAAAAGTGGACCCAAGGGGCAGATGCCCAGAGGCAGGACGCAGACGGGTGGCCGCGGAGCCGGGGGGGGATGGGCCCCGGGGCTCCTCTGAGGTGCTGGGAAGACTTGGAACCAGACACAGGTGGGGGCTGCCCAACCCCGTGAATGTGATAAATGCCACTGGGCTGTGCACTAAAATGGCGGGTTTATGTGACTTTCACCTCAGGATTAAAATCATACACATATAGCTCCTTCAGAATATAAACTGCACGTTTAGCATTGCAAACATTTTATTTAAAAAGGAAAGTTAAGGGGCGCCTGGGTGGCTCAGTCGGTGAAGCGGCTGCCTTCGGCCCAGGTCATGATCCCAGGGTCCTGGGATTGAGCCCCACATCGGGCTCCCTGCTCAGCGGGGAGTCTGCTTCTCCCTCTGACCCTCCCCCCTCTTGTTCTCTCTCTCTCTCTCTCACTTCCTCTCTCTCAAATAAATGAATAAAGTCTTAAAAAAAAAAAAAAAAGGAAGGTTAAAAGATAACCCACAGGAGAAAAACTATTTGCAAATACCATATCTGATGAGGGACTCGAGTCCAGAATATATAAAGGACTCTGAATAAATGCTCCTAGCTCAGGAATAAAAAGACAACCCGTTTTGAAAATCGGTAAAGGATCTGAATGGACAGGTTTCCGAAGAACACACATGAACGGCCAACAATGAAAAGAGGCTCCCCACCGCTAATCACTGGGGAAACACGAGTCAGGCCCACAGCAGGCGCCCAGCTTGCACCTGTGAGGGAGGCCGGACTCAGACACTGGCCATGGGAAGTGCTGGGGGGACCGGGACCGCCCTGCATGGCCAGCAGGCACGTGGCCCTGTTCCAGGCAGTCCGGACAGAGCCACGCCACTCCGTCTAGGAGAAAGGCTGCTTCTGTCCACACACAAGCTTGCCCAGGACTGTTCCCAGCAGCATTATTCATAAGAGCGGGAAAATGAGATGACCCAAGCGTCCACCGATGGATGGGCGGGTGTGTCAGCTGAATGTGGTCTGTCCCAGCAGGAATTACTCCGCAGCAGAGGGGCGTGTGGCCGAGACACCTGCCACCACATGGGTGAAGCCAGGACACGTGGTGCTCCACAGGGGGCGGGGGCCACAGAGGCCGCGGGGGGGGTGGTAGTGACAAGACCCTTCCAGAAGACTCGCATCCATCGGGACGGAAAGCACGCCTTCCGGCTTCCAGCGGGGGCTGGGCGGCGGTTGTTGGTCGGGGGGGCGGGCGCTGTGAGGGGCTCATTTGGGGAAAAAACTCCAAGATCAGACAGCGGGGATGGCTGTACAGCCGCGCGGTGGAGTGAAGCCTCCCGCGGGTGGGCTACATGGTGTGCGAATTCTACCTCCGTGACGCCCTGATGAGTCAAACAAGCCTGGGGCAGCGCAGGCCCATCGAAATACCCTAGAACCCCGAAAACCACAGAAGGCTGATACGTTTGACTACATCAAAGTAAACAAGTTTCCACTGCAAAACCCACCACGAGCAAAGTCAAAAGACAACCCAGAAAAACCGTCTCCTACTACCACCCCGGAGGGTTAAATCCCCAAATAGAGACGAACACGAGAAAGCGAAACAGCCAACCCCACCCCAGCGAGGGGCCAAGGGCGCTAAGGGAAAGCCACAGACCCTAAACCGTGGCACAAGATGCTCAGTGTCATCAAGACACAGAAATGCCCCATGACGGCCCCACAGGGACACGGCAGAGGAGAAACACGGGGACCGGTGTGCAGGGGTGCGGCAGAGGCTCTCACACGGGGCGGGGGGGCCTGGGGGGGGAGGCACAGAAGCCGCTGGGGTGGGAGACGGCAGTCACGTGGCCTTGGACCCTGCATTCCCACGTGCGGGGATAGGCTTCCTGGAGCGGCTGCGGTCCTGAGGGGCACAGGGGCACCTGCCTGGCGGTCACGGACCCTCCAGGCGCCTGGTCCAATACATCAGGATTCTCCGCAGGAGGGCTTACTGTGTTCACCGGGAGGACGGGGGGCCCCACGCTCAGGGCACCTCCGAGGAGACAGAACGGCGGCCGGGGGCCTGGGGCCCCACCCAGTCTCGCGCTCCCTGCACACAGCCTCAGGGAGCGTCCGGTGTCGTCGGCGGATGCCTAACAAGGTCCCTCCACTCAGTGGACGCCATCCTCTCATACAAAGGAGAAAAGCCCAGACACGCCCTGGAACGCAGGCGACGCCGGGCTCGCGGTGCGTGGTGAAAGGAGCCAGACGCCCAGGCCCCCCAGCGCCCACTCCCTTCCATGGACATGCCCACAGTGGGCGCGTCTGTGGGGGCGCAGAGCGGAGGAGCGCCCCTCCGGCCACATTCGGGACGGCTAGGGCCGTGGCTTTCTCTCTCGGGGTGGAACGTCCCACAAGGGGCCTTGGTGACGGTGGCCTGCGAGCGCACCGCGGGCTGCTGAGCCGTGTGTGCGGACTGCTGACCTGGGGGCCAAGGGCACAGGACACGCCTCACCCCTCCCGGCCCCCCTCCCCCACCCCTCCCGCTTCACACCCCTGTCCCCATCCCAGCCCCACCCCTCCAGCCCCTCTCCCCCACCCCCCCTGCTCTCCCCCCATCTCACCCCCACCCCAGGTCAGCACTGGCCCCCGTCAAGAGCCTGGAGCACCAGGGGTAGAGGGACCCCCGGGGTGTCTGACCTGGGGGGCCAGGCCGAGGGCACCCAGGGAGCAGCAGGACTGCAGGGTCTCCTCCCTGCCCGCCGCCACCCCCATCCGCTCGCAGACCCATACCTCCACTTGGGCCTCCTCCCAGGCATCCAGCCGGACGGACTTCACCTTGCTGACCTGGGGGATATTCCGGTGGATTCCGGAGCAGCTCAGACAGATGAACACCCCCAGGGTGTAGGAAGCCCAGTCGGGATCTGGAAAGCAAAGGCCAGACGCTCAGGGAGGCTCCGCCCCAGGGAATGAGCGTGGCTGGGACTCTCTCTGGCCTCAGTCTCCCCATCTGTGCAAAAGGAGGCTGGCAAGGAGATCCCTGAAGCTCACAGGCTCATGTCTCATGGGCTCGTGTCCCACGTGAGGTCTCTCCTGCCCGCCACAGGTAAGCAGCCCCACCCCTGACGTCCCAGCTGCTCGGCGGACACCCAAGTGGACAACCCGTGGCCATGGGAGACGTGCTAGACGATGACATGCGATCGGCGCCACGTGTGTCAGGCGTGACAGGGATGCTGGCTTGGCCACGCGCTCAGACACACCTTGATGTCTCGCTCACCTGCCAAGTGCAACAGGAACACGTGTGTGCACGTGTGTGTGCAGCAATGTTCAGAGTGCTGACGGCCACGTGACCCCACTGGGGGTGCAGGTCCAGGTGGAAGCACATTCACAACTTCTCATATTGAACCGGGCAAGCGGTGGAATGTGGCACTTAACAAACTGGGGACTGGTGGCAGCTCCAGTGTTGTTCCTTGTGTTCTGTGCACCCCATCCTAGTAACCGAGTGTGGGGGCTGGGGGCCAAGGGAGGCAAGCACCTTCCACTTGTAAGGAAAGCTTCTCCTACATCAGTGTGGTTTAAATCTGGTTTAAATCCAGACACCAGAGGCCCAGAGCCCCTCCTCAGACACCGAAGGCTGGACCACAGACCCACAGCACTGTGCTAGAAGTGTTTGCAGGGTGTGTGCCCGTGTGAGTGTGTGAGTGGGCAGGTGCGGGTGTGCCCGTGTGAGTGTGTGAGTGGGCAGGTGTGGGTGTGCATGTGTGTGTGGGCAGGTGCGGCTGTGGGGGGCTGGTGCAGCAGGCACCTCTGGTTCCTGGACCAAGGACCCAGCAGCCCTGGCCCTGGGATGTCCGGCCCTGGCCCCAGACTCACAGCTGCCCGAGGGCACTGGCCATGCCTTGGGCCCAAGCCTCCCTCCCTGCCTGTTTGGGGAGACAAGCGCCGGCTTACTGTGAGATCCGAAAGGGACATGGGGGGCCGGCAGGCTGAGCAGTTGAGCACAGGGGTTCTGGTGGTTACAGGCCTTGCACACTTTCCAAACCTGACAACCAAGCTCACAGCATCCCCGTCCCCAAGGTGCCTGTGAGGCGTGCGACCTACTCTAGGGTCTAGCAGAGGAAGTGGAGGCCAGGGAGGCAGATCGCTTGTAAGGGCCCCCAGAATAGAGAAGTTTCGGGAGAAAAACAGCCATGTCATTGCTAGGGCCCCGCACAGAGCCACACAGATGACTGTCCGTGGGGGCTGGCGATCCTCCCAGCCATCACCTCCAACTTTGCCTCGATGCTTGTTTATGGGGTGGGGGTGGCTGGTGCAGGAGGGGACTCCTGGTGAGTCTGGGGGGCTGGGGAATGGGGAAGTGAGCCCACGCACAGACACAGGCTCCTGGCCGGGAAGCTGGAGGCTGGCACTCTGAGACCAACGGGGGCCCCAGTCCCCCACCTCCTCCCTGTCCTGGGGTTGGCTGACATCAGCCTTCCCCACTGGGGCCAGTGAGGGGTGCAGCCCAGAGAGCCTGAGGCCTCAGAGCCTTGGTTCTGGGGGCCTTACCCTACTCAGAAGAGCTGTGAGCAGAGGGGCAAGGCAGACCACCAGCCCACCCACCCATCCTCCGAGACATCCCCTCGGTCCACCCCTGGCTCCTTGCCATTCCCCCCACGGCCCCCCACGGCCCCCCACGGCCCCTTTGTCTGCTCCGCCCACAGCCACTGGCTCCGGAAGCCAAGAGCATCACATCAGCTTTCTGTTTGGAACCTTCCGGGGACTTTTCACCACCTCTCCTGGCTCCTCCCCAGGCACTGCTCCAGCCCCCCAGTGCCTGGGCGGCCCCTTCCTCCCACATCTCAGTGCAAATGTCACCCTCACGGGGCCCCTGGCCACCAACAGGGGGCACCCTCACGGGTCCCACATCATAATGCCCTTCTCGGTTCTTCACACCATCTGCCAGGCCGGCGTTGACTTTCTTTGCCTGTTTACCCAGCACCGCCTGTCTCGACCCCTAGAATGTAAATGGGTCAGGCGCCTGACGTGCTTTGGGCCCTCTCCCAGCAGCCCGGTGCCCAGATGTCCACACAGCCCCCACAGCCACGTCCCTGAGCTCCCCCACCCCGCCCATGGCTTGGGGGACACTAAGGGACAGGCCACCGCCCTGCTGCCCTGAGCACTGACCCGGGGAGGTGTCTTGGCCACAGGGCTTGACCGCAGCCAGAAGCCAGGCCTCCAACGTACTGGGGTCCACGCAGCAGGACAGGCGTGCAGGGGACCCAGGGAGTGGGCAGCAGGGGAGATCGGGTCGGGGAAGGCCACATGCCCCTGCTCCGTGCCGCCCTGAGGGCTGGGTGGGGGTCAGAGGGCCAAAGACCCCCCCCTCTAGCCCACGCGTGCTCGGCAGCAGACAGAAGACCCCCACACGTGACCCAAGTTCCCACAGGAACCTGGGGATGCAGAGAACATGCAGAGAACAGGACAAGGGTCCGCGGCTCTGCATGAACCAACCCTCCACCTCTGTCCCCTACTCTCAGAAGACACTCCCTGCATTTTGGTAGCATTCTCCAGAAACTGCCAAGGGGGCACACCGAAGCCCCTGGTACTCCCCCCTGCCAGGCCCCTGCCCCACGCGCCCCTGTCCTGTGGCCACAGCCCACCCTCGGCAGCCCGCCTGAATGCCTGGGCGCACCCACCCTCCTTGGGCCCCAGGAGCCGCTCCCTCTTCCTGAAAATGCTGCCCCACCAGGAAATGAGCCACTCCTCTGGTCTGAGAGAGCACGAGCAGGGAGGACCCACGTGGGCCGGCTGCGCCAGGTCCCACCCCCTCCCCACCCTTCCTAGCTGTGTGTCCCAAGGCGAATTACTTAACTGCTCTGTGTCTCAGTTTCTCCTCTGCAAAACGGACAGCATTCCATCAAGGACACCGAGACCATTCATACACAGACAGCAGGGGGCCGGCCTGGTACGCAGAGTGCCCAGATTATGCCGGTCATTACAGAGCAGCATGCACAACCTGTCCTTTGGAACCTTCCGGGGACTTTTCACCACCTCTCCTGGCTCCTCCCCAGGCACTGCTCCAGCCCCCCAATGCCTGGGCGGCCCCTTCCTCCCACATCTCAGTGCAAATGTCACCCTCACGGGGCCCCTGGCCACCAACAGGGGGCACCC